ATTTATGCAATAAAAAAACTTTATTATTTAAAAGTAATTCCATACAAAAAAATTTCAATAATTATTTATTATTTTTCATTATTTGATTTCATAAAGATGGAAAAAAATTTAATTGTATGGTAAACAAATTTTTACATCATTTTGAAAAAAATTATTATAAAAGACAAAGTACAAAATTTGAAAAAAATCAGTCAAATAGGTTCGGAGTAATCAAATCTTAAAAAAAGTCATACACTCAAAATTTAATTATAGCTTCGATTATGATTATTAATTTAGAGCAGATCATATGACCTTTAAATTATAAAATCATTTACGAATTTGTCTTTTTTTCGAAGTAATTTGCATAATTTTTATTTCTGAAATAAAATATTATTTTTCCTGCACGAAACTTTTTTTTTGTCTTTATGAATTGATCTAAGTAGATTTCAATGAAATTAATACCACATTTTATAAAATATCTATGCTTGGCCTAAAATAGTAGATTAACTTGATTCTTCAGATGTTATTGAATAATATTATGTTAGTTTCTTTTTTTATAAAAATATTTTAAGACGTTTATTATTGTTTTTAAAGTGATTAATGCTTGATTCCATGAACTATTGTCCTAATTGTTTGGCAGTATCGTGGGATATCGAAATAATATTTTAAGTATCGGAAAATAAATATCATTACTTTAATTACAGATATAAAAATTTTTAAACCAAGTTTCATCTTTGAGATGATCTTTGTAGTTAGAAAAGTGAAACTCAATTTAATGGATCACCTTAGTTAAACTATAGAACAACTAATTTCTTGAATAATTTTTTACCTGATTAAAATCTTACTATTTATGCACATTTTTTAGTTTGTTCTGAATGAATGATTAAAAGTGAATGAAAATGGATGAATAGAATTGACAATAATGGTGAAAAAGTTTAAATTGGAAGTTCAATTTATTTACCCCCACGCAACTCTAATTTTTTTTTTATGATTACACCATCGTTTGTTATTTCAATTGGAATACAGCCTGAAAAGTCTAAAAAAAGATTATTTATTTTCATACATTTTGAAAATTGCAAATCATAAATTTCATATCCATTTCACGCAGAAAATCATATTTTACTTTCAAAACAGATGATGGATAAAAAAAAAACGTATTTTACTTTCAAATTCTCTATTTTTGGCCTACTTTCAAAAATCAACGATGCAATTCCTTTCTATCGGAAGGGAAGTGTGTAAGTGAACCGATAGAGGTCGCTGGCGTAGGAGCTAGAGGCAAAATCCTTGTGTAAGTATGCGATAAGCATTAGTGAGAAGTCTGTTAGGCAGTGAAAACCGCTTTTCAATGGATGTATGTTTTCAAAATTGTTACCAACTTCTCACCTTTCTTTTTTTTTTCATAACAACTTGTTCATTAACAATGCGATGAAAAGAAAGGAATGAAATTTCGTGAAAGGATTGTGAGTTGTTTTTATTCCATTTTTGAAAATGGGAGAGTTTTCGAATAAAAAATAAATATTGTATTTCTTAAAGGAATTTTTTTAAAAAAGTGATCGGTTCTTTGAAAAGACTGTAAAAAAAGTGTACATTTTTTTGAGTTTTTATGGATACTTGACAATTTATATAGGTAAGCAAATAACTATATATATGTATATTTTTTTTTTAGAATTATCTTAAATACGGCTGTGAAATTTATTTATATCTTTGTAAGAATGTATTTATTTCATGAAACGATTTTTTTCAATTCACATCTCGGTATTTCTTGTACTTTTAAACTTGAAGAAAATACTTTTTGAAACATAATCTCTGGTACTTACTAATTGTTTATTGTATAGTAGTACAATCCTAAACTTTTGTACCTAAGAGTATTTACATAGAATAATAATCGCCGATTTATTTTAATGATTTCCAATAATTTGTACAATGATACAAACTTTTAAATTGAGGTATACAACCAAAGTAGATGTATGATTAAGATACAATATTACATATTTTTAGACTATTTGTAGAAAGTAAACAATAAGCTCAAAGCATATATAATTTTCTTATACTATTAGTTGCAAAAACTAAAAATAATTATTTCTTCAAAATTCTAATTGTACTTATATATATATATATATATATATATANAAATTATATATATATATATATATACATCATAGTTTATTTGCTGAATGCCTAGGATATTTGTTTTAATTATCTTAGTTTACGCCGGCTGTGACTCTTTAACGTAAAAAACTATGCGGGGAATAATGGGAAACATATGTCAGGTTAGAATTATTAATGTGCATTTTTAACTACGGCTATCAAAAAACGATTACTATAAATATTCGCATTTTCTTATTGATAAAAATGTAATGAACTGAAATCGTAATCTAGCGGTGATAAGTGATATTGCCCTGTATACATTTGGCCATTTCTTATAGCTATACTGATGTTGGGTTAGTCTCTTTGGTTTCGGGCTAAACAGGGGAAGTTTTCGTCATTTTCCTCAATGTAGTGCTATTTAAAATTCTCAAGCACACGTGAGTTTTTATAACTTCTTGATCGTACAGTACTGACGCAAAAATTGTCCTCAGGGGTAAGCGAATCATTAGTGAGAACCGTCTTGCTTTCGTGATAACTATCGAAATTTTTCGTAGTTTTCCATGTAATTACTTCCACCCAAAAATCCTGTTGTTGTCGTTGTCATTCCCATTGAGGCAAAAGGGGTGCGATTGTTCTTGTTTTCCAGTGGCGCGATCTATAGCCGGGATAGAAACTATATTAACTATATAGTCGTTAAAAAAACTATATAGTAATTAACTATATAGTAATTAAAAAACTATATTAGTAGTTTGGAATTTGCTAATATAATGTTGTTGTTGTTTGCCATTAAAGCAAGGGGTGCGATTGTTCTTATTTTCCATTGGTGCCATCTGTGGTAGAAAATTCGAATTCTGACACACCCGTTTAGAGGGTGGACCCATTCAGGCATCCACAGATCGTAATTTTGACCTGAACCAGAGAACGATCAAACTCCAATTCAGTACCCCCAGAGGTTTAATTTGTTATGGGAACATGGAGGACTTTGTGATCCGACAGATTTAATGTGCACCAGTCACCATTTACTACACGGGGAAGTCTACGGCCGGCTGGATTCGAACTCCCGTTCTCACGAATGCGAGTCCAGTGCCCTGCTAACCAGGCTATTCCGGCCCTAACAAAAAGTCCCCCACAAAAGTTATTTCTCTCAAAGCTTGATCTAAGAGTTCCTCTGTTTTTTGGGTTGGATTTTAAAAGAGTATGGATTTTAACATTGATAGTCGTGAACTCAAAAATAAGTGGGCTCTTCAATGCTGGTTATAGAAATAAAATGTAAAAGGCTTGATTAATGATTTCTTTTGTTTTCTGGGTTTCGTTCAAACTACAGGGCTTTATATATACGAACATTATGAAGCACAAATCAGATATGGATTGGCTATTGAACGCGATTAATAAAATATAGTGAAATTAAAAAGTGTCAGGTTGGGGTTCTGTTCCAGTTACTTTAAAAAAATATACAATCAGAGTATTTGGTTGGGATATTCTATACCAGTTATCTTTAAAAACTGTTTACAAGACTACGAGAGCAAAACATTTGGTCTGCATATTTTACCTCAGCTACCTTTCAAATCATGTGTCTTCAGATTTTGGAAACTCATAATGGTCCACTTTTTGGCTTCAATAAAAAATCATATAGAAAGTGTTTAATCGTCCTAAGAACCTAAGAATCTCAATGACGTTGTTTGTTATGTTGTCGAAAAGAGTTACACTTAAATTGTGTTCAATAAATGTAGCTAAAATTTAAATGTGCCTCCTGCTATTCAAAATTAACTCAAACTTTTTACACTATCCGAATTATCTTTTAGCATGCAATCAGGATACATAAATCTTTAATTAAAATTTCGAACTAACTTAGGTCTCTGTATAAAATAAAAGTGATTTTTTTTCCATAATAAAAATTCATACTTTTTATAAAGCTTATTAAACAACTAAAATTCTTAAAATGAAGAAATTGTATCAGTTTTAAATTTCAGGGACTTCAAATTTCAGATCCAGGTCAAATATTTTTAAAGGCATCGCCAATTGACACGTTTAACTCACTTTCATACAAGTAAAAATTAAAAGAAAATGTTTTCACCAATCTTCAAAGTACTATAAATCAAAGAGTTAATGCAAACAGCATATTTTTATTACAAAAAATCTTTTTAGGAAATATTTTTTTCCTACCAGCTGTTACACTTGAGTGACTAATTAAAGGTGCAACAACCGAAACTTAAATTTTCATTACTTTTCTCTTCTTTCATTTTTCTCTTCAATTATTTTAGAACATAATTTTTAAATATTAATAAGATTTTATACCAACTCTCTTTTACTTTGGGAAAAATAAAATTTTATTTGAAATAAATACTTTATTTTTCAGTGAAGAAAAATTCTTTAATGAAATAATCAGATGATGAAAAGTATAACAAATAAAGTAGAAGTTATGTAGCAGGGGTCTGTCCAGACATTTTGTGAAAGGTCCGTTTTTCGTGAAATTGTGAAAAAACTCTTCACATTCTTTCAACCAGGGTCCGCTTTTATGAATTTGTGCAAATAGGGTCCGTTATTGCAAAAAAAAACTTTTTCAAGGAGTTATTAAATTGTAAAGACATACAAGATTATGCTCAACACTGTAAAATTTTAATTAAAAAAATTAAATTTTTAAAAATAAACAACAATTGCTGCTTCTGAATTAGAGATGCAACATACAAATATTTGGTATTTAGCCTGTAACGAGCCCTCATCCCCAGATGTCATCCCAGAAAACTACCCCCAGATGGCGCCACTGGCGCAACAGAAATAATAACTTTTTATTTCTCAAAAACTTAAAAACAGTAGAAGCAGATGTAATGTAACTAGAGACGCGCCATGCAGCGCTAATATCTAACTCCATGTTTTCATCACTTTATAATCATCATTTACCATTTCTTGTAAATTCATCTTCATCTATTTGTAATTAAAAAATAAAGGCTTATGAATCATCAAATTGGCGGTCTAAAGGTAAGTGGAACATTTTCCACTATTCATATTGAAAACAGGAATTCATTTTAGATTGAACATTTTCTGGCGCCCGAACAGGGACCGCCATTAAGAGATTTCTTGTTTATTTTCGATTAGAAATTTAGTTTCATAGAATAGTGACTTTAAGTGTATAAATAGTTCGCTTATAAATTAAGATGGAGAAATCCAAACAAAAGCGTACTACGATAAGGTCATTAACAACTAAGTTATTAACCAAAATCGAAAACATTTATCAAGACGATAAGGTTACAATAGATGAATTGGATGAGTTAATGTCTGAATTAATATTAAAACAAGAACAATTGAAAGAAATTGATCTCGAAATTCAGCAGGGTATTACGGATGTAAATGAAATCGATACAGAAATTATAAAGTGTGATGAATATTTGACAAATATTGTACGAAGTAAAAGCAGATTAAACAGAAAAATAGAAAAACTGTCGATAGTGTCTCCTGAGTTAAATTCGAACATTTCCGAACCGAAGATAAACACTAATATAAGAATAAATGAAACTTCTTCTGTGAAACTGCCTCTTTTAACTATAGAGAAATTTTCTGGCGATCCTGCAGACTGGCAAAGATTTTACGATCAGTTCGAATCTGCCATAGATAAAAACACTGGTTTGTCGAATGTTGAAAAGTTTAATTACTTGAAAACATATTTAGTGGGATCGGCTTCAGATGCGATTAAAGGATTCAGTTTAACAAATAATAATTATGTATCAGCAATTGAAACATTAAAAGAACGCTTTGGCAAGAAAACGTTGATAATTAACTCTCATTTGAATAAATTGTTGAGTTTAACCCCAGTAGAAAAATCAACAGATATTTTTTCATTAAGAAAACTTTTTGATTCTTGTCAAACTGAAATAAGGAATTTAGAATCTTTGGGAATTAATCAGGAAAATTACGGGGCTTTACTCTGTCCTATACTTATTAAATTACTTCC